TTTTTTTTTTTTTTTTTTTTTAATCGAAATTATGCTTTCCTTGTTTGTAGACAAAGTAGAAAAATAATATGAATTACCTCCGTTGCATAAAGGACTTCTAATATTTTCTGTACAATAGGTGGTGGATCGCCGTTGTCGCAGTCTTGGCACATCACCTCTATGTCGCGTAATTTCCCGAAATAGAAGTCCCTCTCCTTCTCCAGGCCTTCGACCGACATTTTCAACTCAACCAACTGAAATATTCCGTTGAAAGTTTCATTAAAAGATACATGAGATGCGTATAATTACAGACACTTGTAAAACGTTAACCATTTGGACGATCGTGTCGTACCTGTGCGCTAAGTTCCTCGATTTTTCCGGTGTCACCACGACTACCGACTGCTGTAGTCTTGGGCGGCGCACGATACGGTTGAGCTTTATTTACTAGATAAAGAAAATGGTACGTTAATATTAGTGCTTTAAAAAACGCATGTTGATTATTTGTAGAATTGTATTAAATTGTATCAAAGCGACTTATTTATATCGCGAGAGTCATATTAAAGCTACTTGAATATACAGATATACAAGAGCTGCGTTGTGTAAAAGCGAAACGGTGCATGCAAAAATCTAGATGGAAAGCATGCACAATATTATAGTACTTGACGCACAATCGTATGATATACATTAATCGCACAAATATATACAAAAGAGAAAAAGGGAAAGAGAAAGAAAGAGATATGTTCATTGTGTACAACGATAGAAAACTACGAGGCAAGTGCTCTTAAAAATAATTGTCATTTATATGTTTCTGCAATAAAGCGCGTTGACGAGTGTTTGACAGTAGGAGATAACGAACGTAAACTAGTGGAAGGCTATAGTAATCGCATAAAAAATCACTTTGTCAGATGACAATACTGTAGCTATACAAATAATGCGAAGGTATTTCTCATTCAGAGATTTACTTGCCCGCCCAATTTCGTATGCTTCGGCATTTATTTTCTCGCGCGTGTCAGAATAATTAATACTAACGAATATATCACATCTCGATAAAGTATTCGGCAAATAAAGAAATCGCTCTAGAAACATATAACTTGTCCAGTACTGTTCTCAACACCTCAACGTTAAAACATATCCAAAATATGAAGAAGCAAAAAGCACAAGTGACGAAAATTACAAAAAAAAAAAAAAAAAAAAAAAAAAAAAAAAAAAAAAAAAAAAAAAAAAAAAAAAAAAAAAAAAAAAAAAAAAAAAAAAAAAAAAAAAAAAAAAAAAAAAAAAAAAAAAAAAAAAAAAAAAAAAAAAAAAAAAAAAAAAAAAAAAAAAAAAAAAAAAAAAAAAAAAAAAAAAAAAAAAAAAAAAAAAAAAAAAAAAAAAAAAAAAAAAAAAAAAAAAAAAAAAAAAAAAAAAAAAAAAAAAAAAAAAAAAAAAAAAAAAAAAAAAAAAAAAAAAAAAAAAAAAAAAAAAAAAAAAAAAAAAAAAAAAAAAAAAAAAAAAAAAAAAAAAAAAAAAAAAAAAAAAAAAAAAAAAAAAAAAAAAAAAAAAAAAAAAAAAAAAAAAAAAAAAAAAAAAAAAAAAAAAAAAAAAAAAAAAAAAAAAAAAAAAAAAAAAAAAAAAAAAAAAAAAAAAAAAAAAAAAAAAAAAAAAAAAAAAAAAAAAAAAAAAAAAAAAAAAAAAAAAAAAAAAAAAAAAAAAAAAAAAAAAAAAAAAAATATATGTCGTATTTCACCTAATGTGTTTGCACTATCTGCGCGCATCGAAGATGGGTGTCCCTCACCTACAGGCAAATTTCATTTCGAGTTATTAGGACATATCGGTCCAAATGACATAACGGGAAATTTTGTCGACACATCTCGACCATCAGTGGAAAGCATCTAAATCCAATTCCAATGTATCACAAAGATCTCTAATACTATAACAGGTCTAATATTATAAAAAATTCTTATTCTTTCTGCCGACTCGGCATTCAATCCGATTTATATAACAGATCCTCTTGCCCAATAAATTCATCAGACTTCCGTCAGAGGTACGTGAAAAAACGGTCAAATACATGTATCATCGATTAGTACAAATTTATGTTAATGTAAGAGAATTATACTGAAAAAACTCTCTATTCTGTCAGATTCGGTTTAATGGTTAAACCCGCCAAATTTGATTTTGTTAAGGGAAGTCATGAAATATGATGTACCAGTACGAGGGGCAGCAGATTTAGTCGAAGTTACTGTTTCACGTGGAGAAGTACGTTTCACGTTAGAACCACGGGGTGCATTACTTCCACCACTACCCATAGGCTCCCCTCCTCGCATTGCAAGCGCATCGTACGGCTCTGCTCCCGAGTAGTTTGCGTCAAAGAACTTCTTGAACCATTGCAAAAACTCAAAGTTGTCTTGGAACCTGCCTTTCACCAGCCTATCAATTGGTACAATCTGCAAATGAGGAGCGGAAAGTGTGGGTGTGTATGTGTGTGCGTAAAACAAAATGAAACATATTGAACAATCACGTTGAATGGATGATACGTGTGTAGGTGTGTGTGTGTGTACACACATATATGCACACACACACACACATAGCATTACTAAAATTTAAAGATATCACTTTTTCTCAAATAATTCGTATACGAGATTATTCGATGGAAACACGAGCATTAGATAAAAGGGCGAACAAGTCTAGCTCTTCCTCCTATTTCTTAAGGCGACACATTGCTTCTTACACAAGCCTACTTACAGGCTGTGTAAGGCTGTTGAAAAAATTAGCAAAATGAAAAATTAATAGAGAAATTTTTCACTCATAGCACTTATATAATAAGTCAGGATACAAATGCAGGCCACAAATATCTAAAATCCTATTCCATACGTGTGTGCGTATTTTAATAAAAATACGTGCTACACAAATTCTTGTGCGTCTGAATTTCATCTTCGTTTATATTCATCACGATGTGACATTACAGAGTGCATACAAAGTGTGTGCGTACACCGCGAAAATAGCTCCGTAATTAATAACATAAAGTTGTTGCTACCGATGGAAAGATGACATTATTGGGAAGAAAAGAGCCGATACACGATCCGTTGATTTGCAAGGATCTTAAACAGACTCTTTCCCTCCCAACGTGCGGATCTGTAACAGCATGCAAGAAGCGGCCGCGTAAAAACGAGATTGCAAGCAGATATACCCTGCTGCTGTCGCGGGACACTGTTACGTTGCTGTATGTGTTTTTGTTGTATTTGCGGCTGCTTCGATTGCGGTGGCAATGGCACCAACTGGGGATTCGACAGATTATGCGTTCCGTCGACGCCGGAACCTAGCGGTATGCAGCCACGCGCTTCGTAAGCCTCGTACTCGCGACCATCGTAATTCGCGTCGAAAAACTTTTTGAACCACTGCAGAAACTCAAAGTTGTCTTGAAAGCGCCCTTTTATCAGCTTGTCCACTGGTATTACCTGAACCATTTTCACGGCTGTGTCATTACAATACTGTCCACGTTGTTTCGCAGAAAACTATTCTACCGCACACAAGGGACAATTGTAGTACTTTTGTTATATAGCACACCTCTATATCATGACATCTTACCTTTCGTTACTTGTTTAAAACAATCTTTATACTATTTAGTCTGTTTGTTATAACATTAATTGTTATTTTGCATATTATTATGTGCACAACATTTCTGAGCGTACCTTTTCCCTACTCTATACTACACTGCTGTTGTATCATTTTTGGAAATCATTCCCGATAATTATTATTGCATAGATACGTACGAATTGATCTTAAACATATCTTTACAATATATCACTTTTGTCATCTATTTGTCTTTTGTCATTTATTCATCATTCCATGATCGGCAAATAAGTCTCTCTGCTTTTTTACCAGATACACTCTGTATGAAAGAGAAGAAAAGAGATAATTTTTGCTCACCTTATCCACATTCATCTTTTTGAAGCCACCTTGAAGAATTTTGAAATTCTGTATATATTCATGTTCCAAGTTAGTCTTGAATTTCACTCTTTTCAAAGGTACACTGCCAGGAAACAGCATGTCCATAAACTGGCAGTAGACTGCTCCGGTACATAGCTCTTCGATCTTGGTGAACGATGACTGGAGACAGTCATTTACCCAGGCCAACATGTCATGGCGACTAAGGTTGTCGGATGTCATGTTTGTGGCGTACACATTAACAGCCATGTTGCTCGGTTTGTTCTAACTGAAAATCATAAAATGATAAATGACACAGTGGTGATACTTGTGTCGTGACAAGATTAGCAAGCATAATAATAATAATTGCAACAGTGTGTGCATTTCAATTTTGTGGACTAATGATACTGTCTTTACTAGTGTCTTTTGAAATATAATAACATAAATCATAGCCTTTTTCGTTGCTTAGCTTACAAATTCAGCAGAGGAAAGTGTTACTTGCGAGTGAACCCGCCAAGTTTTTCGCCAACAACCTAGATTTGGGATTCTGTCCCATGCAGTGTTTGTAACATGCTACACCTTTTGCGCTTGAAATGGAACACCCGAGACTCGTGAGAAAGTGAGAGAAAAATTGCAAGTACAAAAAGTATAGTTGATAAAAGAAAGAAGAAAGCACATTTAAGAGTATCGGCGATTCGGAGAGCGATCGACGGTAGCGAGTGAGCGAGTCGAAACTCGACGAGACTTCGAGAGATCCGAACATTCCGTTCACTTTTTTTTTAGCATTCGCGAACTCGCAGTCGACATATTCGGCATTCTTGATCGGTACGCTTCAGAATTTGACCGCCCATCCGCTCGCTCGTCCTCTCATGCTCAGACGTACTCGGTGAAAATACGGCCGCACATGACCGCACGTAATTGTATGCGTACACTTACCAAAATTCGCGAAAACACGCTAACGACCAGCGGGAGTGGTTCGCGCACCCAGATGACAAATGTGCACTAGATCGTTCAAACGCGCACACACAACGGAAACTTCTAACGGTTTCGCCCGAGTGCGATTGGCCGGCGTGGCGCCGCGCGCGCCGCTCCACACGCACCGCCGTGGACGGTGTATATGTTCGATTTTCACGACGCGGTGAGATCGTTGCCGATTGTTTCAAAGACCGTTCACAGCATGAGACAGGTGTGCGAAAACGTGAACGAAAATTTCGCCGTCACAATGCGAGACACGATGTAACTCGATGAGAGAGAAGACTGTCGCGAGACGACAACCGGTGATAAACCGCGATTATCGAGCGCTACACTCGCGCTGTTTCAAGCCGAGCTCACACCGTACGACATGTTCTATGTTTCAAGAAAAGTGCTCTTTCTCATTTAAAAACAAAATGCTTAAAATTGTACAAAAATTTCACGTAACATTTATCGTAGTAAAGCACATTCGTGATTAATGCCGATCGTGATAGTGCCGATCGCAAGCAGACACAATTCTTATTGCGACAGCCAATCAGAAGCATCAATGGTGCTATTGACGCTTCTGATTGGCTGTCGCAACAAAAGTTGCAATCGACTTGCAACTAATATAGAACGACCTTTAGATTTTATGCGATACCGTTAATGAGAAATTTAATATCGCAATTTTGCATATATATAACCTACATAACCTATAGGAACAACGGTAGAGATAATCATTGGCTGTGTTCAGAAAACATATCTGATCAGTGAGCGGTCAGTGATTATTGGTCCTTACTTTATAGATTATAGATCCCTAACTTTAGACCAATTACATTGGCTGCGTTCAGCAGAGAAAGTTGCTTTGCAACTGTTGTAAAATTCGTGAATCTGATTGGTACATGCTCTTGGATTTAACCAAAATTAAGAGCATACTCCAATCAGATTCACGAATTTTACAACAGTTGCAAAGCAGCTTTCTCTCCTGAACGCAACCATTGGCTGCGTTCAAAAAACATAGCTGATCAGTGATTATTGGTCCTTACTGTTAGATCCCTAACTTTAGACCAATTACATTGGCTGCGTTCAAAAAACATAGCTGATCAGTGATTATTGGTCCTTACTGTTAGATCCCTAACTTTAGACCAATTACATTGGCTGCGTTCAAAAAACATAGCTGATCAGTGATTATTGGTCCTTACTGTTAGATCCCTAACTTTAGACCAATTACGTTGACTAATTACTCAATCGTTGTGCAACAGTTGTGTCTCTTGAACGCACTCATTGCCTAAGTTTACACGAAAGTTTAAAACCTGTTTAGTAACAACCGAATTTAGTAAACTCTCGCATCCGATTGATATATTCTTTTAGACCTAGAAATATATTCCAATTAGATTCAAGAGTTTATTAACTAGTTTATTAACAGTGGATGTTTTCCAGTTACGTTTTGCGTATTAAAACCAGTTTATTAGTTGTATATTATCTTACAAGATATTTTAGATAATATGCGACCAATAAACTGGTTTTGCGTACGTGTCAAGATGTGTTAAGCAATTGGAAAGTACCCATTGTCAAACGTATCGATTAGCTGAAATTCTTTTAAAGTCCTTAACTTTTCCTCCAGATACTCCAGAAATTCTCTGACAGCCAATTAAAATGTCCGACAAGCTTGTCGTACGACATGTAATAGATGCTTCCGAAATACCCAGAGTTGGGTCGAGTTGAGTTAGTTCCACTATAGTATGGCCGAGTTCCGTTTCACGCATATGCGCGCGTTTATCTACAGTTCATGTTACGTATATTGTAGGAAATGCGCGCATAATGCGTGAAACGGAACGCAACCTATATGTAATGGATACTATAGTGGAACTAACTCGACCCAACTCTGGACATTTTGGAAGCACCCGATATTAGCTTAAAGCATGTTTATAGCTTCCAGTGGATTCTACCATTCATCTAGATCATTTTTTTTTCGCCTCATTCACGTATATCGTATTCAAATCCATCATTTCTTTTTTCTCATAATATACAAAGCAGCGCAATTACACAATTTAAATATATTATTTGCGATGCACACACACACTTAGCTTTTCCACTTGACGTGAGGTAAACGCAAAGCACTCTCAGCATAAAAATATTCTTCCGACTGTGGTTGCAATTTTGCCTTATGATCCATAAGCGCTGTACGATTTCCTTGTTGTACGAATATCTATAAAATTTTCAAATACATCATTTCGATTCCCATCTCTCTCTCTCTCTCTCTCTCTCTCTCTCTCTATATATATATATATATATATATATATATATATATATATCCTCCTTAATTGTAATTTTCTGCATTGCATTATCATACATACATCGGTAACTATCGTGTAACAAGATAATTTCTTTGCCAATTCCAATCGTTTCTCCAAATTATCGACGAATTTTAAGTACTTTTCGAGAATAGCGTACGGCGCATTGTGCTTATGCAATACTTTCAAGACATCTTCCATGTGCAAACATGTTTGCAGCTTTATATTCCCAAGCATTCCCTAAAATATAGTTGACACGATATAATTTTCTGATATTTTCTATTTTTAATTTACAACAGTACAAACGATATTACCTTTGTTAAAAGTAGACGATCGATATCGTCCCATGCGCCGCAGGTAGCTTTGACTTGCAAAGTGACTTTTTGATATAGTCTAGAAGAAATGTCATGATCACGAGAGAGAGTTGTAGGTGATATTACGACATAATGGTCCGGCGTATTGCAGTGGTATTTACATGCGTAATGCAGAGATTCCAGAACCGAAGAATTTAATGCAAGTTCCTCGTTATCTTTCTTCTGCTTAATCGCCACTTGCCATTCTAACGATATAAATACAATCGAGCAATATCTTATCACATAGATTAAAACAAACAATCACCAACATACCCAATAGTTTGATGTAACATTGGAGAAATGTGGTCTCTTTACAGTCAGGCAGTATGGCAAAATGTACCTTGTAGCAGTTATGAAGTTTCTGCAGCAGCGTATTTGGTTCTTTTGTGTTTTTTATAATAATGTGTAGATTCTTCATCTATATAACGAACCACACAGAAAGCGAACTGTCATTTACTCATGTAATATATCGTGCGAGACAAGTAACAATTGCACAGAGTAATACTTACAGCAGCAGTTAAAGATTGACCCAGCATACTGCAAAATGCCAAGCATGAGAAAAAGAATGACAACTCATCAATGGCACGTTAGAAAAAGTACATACGTCAAAATGTCAGTTATCTCGTTTGTCTGTAGTCTTATAAAGAGATAATGTAAATACACATTTACTGCATCTGGTCTGTCTGCTAGTAGTCTTTGGACCAACGATCGCTTTAAAGTCTTTGTGAGAAATAAAACTATCTGCAGTATATTAAACAAATGTTAATAAGATTTGTTGTATTAATCATATAACTTATATTACATCGCAGCACTTTATAATCACTTTACTGAACAAAAAATTCATACTATCAAAATAGCATTTCCATCTCCGCTTAAAATAGCAGCATCTAGAAGTGCAGTTTTACTGGCCAATGAACTGTATTGTTCCAATGAATACGGCTGACCAAGCAAAATTTTTCTTAAGGTAATATCTGGCTGAACAATGGCTGCTTCTGAGTACAAATTTTGCAGTTTACATTCGGTTAAAGCTAAAACTGCAAAATAAAATAAATATATTGTATAGTCTTTATATAAAAATTTGTTATGGATAATATGAGTAGCAATAACTAATACTTGTGCAGACTTCAATTCAAGTACCTTTTTCATTAATGTTAGGTAAACTTAAAGTTACTTGAAATATTCCAGAATACATACAAATATATACATAAATATATGGAATATATTGTTATATCTTACTACGTGAAAGGGTCTTCTCAGATATGATTGAAAGGAGAGGTTTTGTACTTTGGAAATCATCACTGGGCTTGAGATTGCTTTCGGAAATCGATGTCTTGGAAATTCCAGCCCACAATTTCTCTGTGTCATTTTTTGAGACACCAAACAATTGGTCCACCTACATATAATCGTCGAATATGTATGTATGTATGTATGTATGATGCATGCATGCATGGTGTGTGTGTGTGTGTGCGTACATATATACATATATGCACACAGGATGTCGATTTCACAATCTCCGAAAATATAGAGTAGATTGAGATAAACACAAAAGTCCTATTTGTGCGATATTTGCAATAACTATTGAGATATTAGTTAAAAAAGATTTGATGGCGCTCGATATAGTAGATGAATTATAGTGACGCGACGTCTGCTCTTACGTATGCTTGCACACTACCTCAAACGTCATCATTTTGCAAATGACAGAAAACTAGATTTTTAATTATTAATTATAAAGATTATCTCGCAAAATCGTGTGACAATTTGCTTTAATTAATAATTAAAAATCTATCAAAGTTATCTGCTAAATAGTAGGACTTTTTGTTCAGTTTAAGCTAATATACAAACACACATTGTCATTACAGCTTATTTATCATATCATGTGTGATCTTATTCAAAAGTTTTCGACAATATTTCAATTATTATTTGCGATTCTCATGAGAGATTGTGAAATCGAGCTTGAAATCATCCAGCTGTATACATCATCTGACAATGGCACACATTGTCATATATTATCATATGACAAGTTTCAGTCTACAATAGATGTAGCGAACCTCTTGTATCGCCGAAACTGCAACATAATTTTGCGAGTAACAGACGTTTTCTACACTGTCAAAAGCTGTAATATCATCTAAATAAAGTTTTAGTATTACAGTTTTAGCTTTAGAGTAAAAGGCCAATGACTTACTATACCTGTTGTAGACTGGCGCTAAAACTACTGTTACTGATAAAAACAGAAAAAAAAACAATTGACTGCTCTTTCGTTATGTTTTAATTATAACCTCATTATCTTCGAAACAGAACAACCGCGTCTCACTGCTATACCAAAAAGCATCGTCGTCTTTGCCGGTGGTCATCCTGACTCGAGAGGTTTATATATTAACTTTGAACCTAGTACATTAACCTAACTCTTCGTCAACAGTTTGAGAATGATGAGTGCAAATTGAGATCCGTTAAATGCTAAAACTTTAATAAGGTTTCTTGATATGCGCCAGCTGAACAAAAAGTCGTACAAACATATTTGCTATCCAAAAAATCGTAATATCTTTATCCTATAATAATATGTACACCAGAAAAGATAAACTGTGTTCCTATATCCACTGTCAATACTGAAAACCTATGGTTCAAGCCAGCGGTACACAATGCTTGTTTTGTGCTGGTTTATTAATGACTCCTGCACACAGGACGCAGTAATGCTTTCCGCGCGGCGGAAGTTCGCGCGATAACCAATCAATATGCTGCTTTATGTAATAACCTTCTAGCTCTTACAGAAAAACTACATATTGATTGGCTGTTGCGCGGACTTCCGCTGTGCGGCAAGCATTACCGCGTCCTGTGTGCAGGAGCCATAAGGCCGGTTTATGATGACCGTAATCTGTTAACTTATGCCGGAATCGTAAAAAATTAACCAATCACAGTCGACTATTCTTCTATAATTCGACTATGATTGGTCAATTTTTTACGATTCCGGTATAAATTAACGGATTATGGCCATCATAAACCAGCCTTTATTCTGTAACCACTTACCGACAATTGTCGGATCAGTCAGTAGACGTCGTTGCGTAGCTTTTTTATACTATAGAAAAGCTGCGCAACGATGTCTACCGATTCGACAATTGTCGATAAGTGGTTATGGAATAAGGCCTCTGGTTCATGCCCATTGTAACTTCCGTCATAGATATCTATACTAAACTAGATTGCTAAGGGTGTGTTCAGATTCCCTATCTGGGTGCACTCTAGGGTATGTTCAGATTCCCTACCCGGGTGCACTCTGTTACTAAAAACACTATAGTATAGTATATGTCACATATACTATAGCATTTCTTGTATTAGAGTGCACCCGGGTAAGGAATCTGAACGCAGCCCTAATGGGAGCGTCCCGATTGACCACGGTACGATTGGACACAACCAACCGATGCAAAGAATTATCTAGTGAATTACTAGGTCGAACCAATCATTACAATCTGTGCCCAATCGTATCGTGGTCAATCGGGTCCCATCCTTATGGCCATAGTCAGATCTTATATTTAAAACCGTCTTAAGTTTATCTTCAGATGATGTATGGATTATTTCATTGGCTATAGACTATCTGAAGATGAACTTAAGACAGTCTTAAATATAAGACCCGACTATGAATATCGGCCTATGTTCATTCATACACTTTTTGGTACATTCGATACGCATGCGCGAAAGAGGGCGCATCTAAAGATATTGCCTCTGATCGGTCAACGCTCGGTGCACCTGATTCTTTTCCGCCACGCACTCTCGGGTGTTCGTGTCTTGTTTAGTTTCAGCTGCGTATAAATCTTTCTCCATCTTCCAAAATGAAGATTTACAAGGATATTTTCACCGGTAAGTAAGCGCAAAATAATTCTCATTATTTCGTGAACCAAATATTTTTCATTCACGACCTGGAAATTCTATCATATAAGTCGATGATAACACTTGGAAATTGACGATGCGTGAATGGTGACGATTAGAACTCGAAGTACTCAGTATTTTGTACTCTTATCGACACGAAATCAAAATGCATAGCTCCAATATTATATGACGACTCATCACTATTATATTATGCCATAAGGACTTGGGTTCCTCTAGTTAAGTGCGAGATTTACGACTGTGAAAATCCTAACCTCTCTATGTTCTCGAACAGTCACTGCTGCCTGACTTTCATCTCTCTACTGCGTTTCGAGTGTACTCTGCGCGAAATAAATATTTCCATTACGTGTATAACAACGCATTTACTTACATTTTTATATGCATACTTTTAGGTGATGAAATGTTCTCCGATGCTTATAAAATCAAATTGGTGGACGATGTGCTGTACGAAGTGTACGGCAAAGTGAGTTCATGCATTGCGCCTTCATTACATCTCGTGTACGCGATAATCTAATTTTGAGACATATTTTTAGTTAGTCACCCGTAAATCAGGAGAAGTTGATATCGCTGGCTTCAATCCCTCTGCTGAGGAAGCAAGTGAAGGTACTGATGAGGTGGTAGAGTCCGGTGTGGATGTTGTTTTAAATCATAGACTCCAAGAAAGTTTTGCCTTTGGGGATAAAAAATCCTATACACTGTACCTCAAGGACTACATGAAAAAGTAGGTATATTTTTTTTTATATATACTACAAAGTAAAACAATTGTTCTAAAAATAAAAAGAATTACTTTTTATTTTCATTAAATTACTTCTTGCAGATTGGTTGCAAAACTTGAAGAAAAGTCGCCTGATGAAGTAGAAGTGTTTAAAACCAATATGAATAAAGTTATGAAGGATATTTTGGGGCGTTTCAAGGAACTGCAGTTCTTCACTGGAACGTCATCGGACATTGATGGAATTGTAGGCCTCATGGAGTACCGTGACATTGACGGCGATTCTGTGCCCGTACTCATGTTTTTCAAGCATGGTCTTGAAGAAGAAAAATTCTAAGTAATATTTAGATATCCAAGAAATTATTGACAAATTTTGTAAGTCCTCTATCAGTTGTGCTATGAATTATTTGTCAAATCGATGTAGTTTGCACATAT